ATGTTAATCCGACTGTCCCATTTCGCGGCACGTCATCAAGGCATAAACGAGTTCGTGAGCCGGTTTCAGTTGGTCCTGGATATCAAGGTAGCTCTGAATGGTTTTCACAATTCCGTCAAATGAACCAGGTCGATTGACCTTCAGTTGGAGAAATGTTTAGCCGCCTTTGAGATCGCGTTTGAAATACAGGGCCAACCTGGAATTAAGGTACGGCTCCACGGCGCCTCTCTTACCCTGTTTCAATACAATACCTGCCTTAATTCGTGCTGCAGTTCCCTTGATGCGGACGGCTCTAGGACTCCCTGAACAAAGGGTCATGGTGATTTTTAATTAGAAAGAGGGAAAGGTCATGTCCGGATGGTTACCAAGGCAAAACTGCAGGGCGATAGGGCCCCGGCGGGATGTTGTGTTTTTGTGTTTTTGTTTTGATGTGTTTGTTGGTGATGTGTTTTGTGTGTGTTTTGTGTGTGTGATGTTTGTTTGTTGTTTTTGTGTTGTTATGTTTGTGATGTTGTGTGTGTGTTTGTTATTGTTTGATTTTGTTTTTGGTGTTTGTGTGTTGTTGTGTGATTAGTGTCTGCTTGACCTATTGGTGGTTGTCAAATGGGAGTTGTTTGTTTTTCATGTTATTGTGATGTGTTTCTGTTTCGGTAATGCGTCGCTTCGATATTTTTTTGTTGTGGGGTGTTTGTGGTTCTCGGGTGTTGTGATGTTGTGTTTGTGTTTTTTGTATTTTGTTGTGTTTGATTTGTTTTGTTGTAGTGTGTTGTGTGATGGGGATTACAGGGGCGTGTGGCCGGTGGCGATGCTAGTTGCTGCGGCGCGTGTGGGAGCGTAGGGATGGGTTTTTTTGTGCTGGTTGGTGCTCCTGCCTGTGTTGGTGTGTGTGTTTTGCGGACTCGCGGTGAGTTGGATTAGTGTGGTGTTGTGAGTGAATTGGTTTTCGTCGTTCGTTGTGTGTTTTGCCTGCTGTGTTGTCGTGACTTGTGTTGATATTTTTGGTGTTGTTTTTTTTATAATGATGTGTCGTGTTGCAGTTTTTTTTTTTGTGATGTGTGTCTTGATTGTTGCTTGATAGATCTGTGTTTTGTTGTTGTTGTTTTTTTGTAGTGATGTATTTGTTGTGGTGTGTGTGTGATTGTGTTGGTGTTTTTTTTGTGTGTTTGTGTGGTTGTTTGGGTTGTGGCTTTGCATGTGTGTTAATTTGGGTTTCGTGTTCTTGGTTTTTTGTGGTTGTGTTTGTGTGTGGTTGGGGTGTTTGTTGTGTGTGGTTTTTGGTGTGTTGTATTGGTGGGTGTCGTTTGTGTGTGTGAGGGTTGTTTGCTATCCTTGGAGAATAAGAGTGCGGTTGTGCAATGGTGTACTGGTGTTAGGTTTAGTCGGGTAATTTGGTTAGAGTGTGCCTATCTAGGGTTAGGTAGTGGCCGCCACGGTGTGGGCGGATGTTTCGTTTGTGGTAAGTGTGTGACGGTGTCTGGATTTGGTGATAGTGTGTGTTTCTGATTGGTGTGTTATGTGTGTGATGATTATGGTGGCTTATATTTGTGTGTCTGGTGCTGTGGAGTTATTGGTGTTGTTGGATTCTGTGTTGTTCCGAGTGCTTAGAGTGGGGTCCGTGCGTGGTGTGGTGCTTACGCATGTTACGCTGGTGTGTTGGGTTTATTGTGCTGTGTGTGTTTTGTTTGTTGTAGTTGCTGTGATGTGATGATTATTGCTTTTTGTGTTTTGATGTTGTTTTGTGGTGTGTTTGTTGTGGGTGTTCTGTGGTGTGGATTGTGTTGTGTGTGTGTGTTGTTTTTTTTGTGATTGTTTTGTTTGAACCCAGAATATGGGCCCGACTCACACCCAGATGTCCCAGGAGGACATGAAGATCATTGGCATAGTTAGGGATGGAATAACCATCGGCAGGGGTCTCCGAACGCCCGGCCGCGCGCCGGTCGTAGGATATGACCTGGAACCGATCAGACAGGGTGGCGGCGTGGTGTTCCATCATCTGGGCACAGCCCTCGCCACCGCCGAGGCCGCCATGGATCATTGCCAAGGCGGTTCCTGAGCCGTGAGTTTCATAGTACATACGGAAACCGTTGACTGTAGCTTCGGACACGATTCCCTCCATTTCCCTGAATTGGGATTTCCTGGTCCAGTCGGGGCCCAAATCTGCGGCCATTTTATGTCAATCATCTACCTGGATATGCCGCCAACTGCCCAATATTAGCCCTTGCCCTCGGCTGTGGCAAGCTAACGAGGGCCGGAGACCAGGGCAGTGGGATATGATGATGGGGGACAGAATCCCCTTGAATTGATAGCTTGTTATTAGTGGCGATCTATGAAGTTATAAGTTGGTGTTGTATTTATTCGCACTTGACGCAGCAAATCTGGAGCATTGACTGCCGTACAGAATGCCATTGTTGACAAATCAGATAGAGAGTGCTATTTACCGGACTATTTCCAAGTATTTTCTCAGACGCAATATGGTACTCCTGTAGCCAACTCAAGGTTTGTTGACAGTGAATTGTAGCTGATTTAAGCTGAACTTCGTTTCCTCCTCAGCCAGATTCACTTGGATTTATGACCTTCATGACCACTTCACCAGAGCCCAAATCGGTATCGGTTGATCCAGGCCGACTCCGGCTTAATGATGCCGCAGGCACGACTGGAACGCTGTTGGGTATGCGATGCCAGGAGTGTTCAATCTATGTCTTCGGACACGCAACATTTTGCCAGGCCTGCACATCGGACAAGCTGGAATCTGTTGACCTGAGCCTTACAGGAACCCTGTACAGCTACACTATAGTCCGTGTACCTCCAAGCGGCTGGCCGGGGCCGGTTCCCTACGTCCTGGGAGAGGTGGAACTACCGGAGGGCCCTCACGTGCTGGCTGAAGTTGTGGGCATTTTGGAAGCCCAGTTGAAAATAGGCATGGACGTAGAGCTGGCCCTCCAGGAAGTGCGTAGTGGAGAGCCCGAGCACGCAAGAATCGTCTACAAGTGGGCCCCTCTTGACCGGTCAGAAGAAGCAGGGGCGGAGGCATTGCCGTGACCCAATTCAAACCGGGACGAGAAGTTGTCGTCGTAGGGGTTGGACTTCACCCCTTCGGCAGATTTCGAGGCAAAGACCTGGCAACCCTGGCCAGGGAAGCAGTTGTCGAAGCCTTAAAGGACGGCGGAGTTCGCTGGCAGGACATTCCGGTGGCCTACTTCGGCCACGTCTACTATCACGGCATGTCGGTAGGGAGAAACGGCCCTGGCCAGCCTGGGCCTGACTGGCGTCCCGATAATTAACGTGGAAAACGCCTGTTCCAGTGGTTCCACAGCCTTTTGGCAAGCATATTGGGGCATCACTTCCGGAATTTACGACATGGCTTTGGCTTTCGGCGCCGAAAAGGTGCCGGGCGGTCCCGTGACGGTGACCGCAGCCGACAGCCCGGAGCGGTTCATTGGCAGCGACCATATGATGGCCGGCTACGCTCTGCGCATGAGGCGCTACATGGAAGAAACCGGCGCACCGGCAACCGCCCTGGCACAAGTCTCGGTGAAGGCTCGCCAGAACGCTGCCTTGAATCCCTACGCACACCGGAAAGAGACTTACACCATAGAGGACGTGCTTTCATCGCGGCCAATCGCCGACCCTTTGACCCTCTTCCAGTGCTGTCCTACCAGCGAGGGCTCAGCCGCGGCAATACTGTGCGCCAGGGACGCACTGGGCCGTTATGGCCTGGACGGATCCCGAGAAATCCGGGTAGTTGCGGCCACTCTGACTTCCGGGAACTACAACGGGAGGGGCAGCGACCACTCGGCCTTCAGTCCTTACCGGACCGAACCAGCCGGCATCGCGGCCTACGAGATGAGCGGGGTGGGCCCGGAGGATGTGGACCTGGTTCAGGTACACGACGCGGCCACCATTGGTGAACTGCAACAAATCGAAGCTCTGCAATTGATCCCCAAGGGCGAAGCCTGGAAAGCAACCGTTGAGGGCCGGACTGCGCTGACCGGCGATATACCGGTGAACACGGACGGCGGACTGCTGGCCATGGGCCATCCCTTCGGCGCCACGGGTATTCGAATGGTACATGAAACGGTAACCCAGTTGCGGGGAGAGGCGGGACCGCGTCAGGTCGCTAACGCCAGAGTGGGCATGGCCCAATGCTCGGGAGCGGGCGACGTAACTACGGTCCAGATCTTTGCCAGATAGACACATCGCTGATCAATTTAGTTTGGTCCGCATTCATGGGTATCCACAATTGCGGGTTACCCATTATTGGTCAGAGGACAAGCATGCCAGCCTTTCTTATTCTGGCCGCAATGAAGGGCCGCTTCATTTCCGAACAGGGAAACTACTACGATAACTTCCAGATGATGGGCTATACGCAGGCCCCGACCCCCAGGGAAGCGGTTACCACCTTCTTCGACCAGCCCCCCTACCCCATCCGCTGGGAAGACGTGGAATATTTGTGGGCCGAGCAGTTGGCCGACGCCTTTCACACCGGCCACCATGGCGAATACGACCGGGTTTATGTCGATGCCCTTCGAAGACGCTGGGAAACGCCGGGTGGTCCGTAGTCGGTAATCCCGAAGCTTCTCATTTTAGCCCTGGCCTGCCACATCCCGCAGCGCGGCGAAGTCCCGACGATAAGCCTCGGCCAGCGTCCGACGGTCAGTGGTGTGAAGGACGAACCGGGCTCCCTGCTGCACCCAATGGGCCGAAAGGTCTGACGTCTGGTGATGGACGAGAGTGGGTATGCCGTGGGCTTCAGAGGTGTCAATCACCTTCTTTACTATTTCCTGGTATTCCGGACGGTCGTACTGGTCGGGGAATCCGATGGAAATGCTCATGTCATTGGGCCCCACAAAGATGCCGTCGATGCCCGGTACCTTGAGAATCTCTTCCAGGTTGTTGACCGCCTGAACACTCTCAATACCAATGATAGCCACGTTGTTGCGGTTACGGTTCTCCAGATAAGTCCGTGACGCATCGCTGATGTGTTCACCCGTATCCATCAAACGTTGGACCGCTTCACCTTTCAGGGGGCGCCATTTCGCCGCGCCAATGACCTCTCTTACTTCCTCCACAGATTCGCAATAGGGGGCAAGAATGCCCTGGGCGCCGGCGTCCAGGGCCATGGTTACGTAGTGGGACGTGGGTATGGGAATGCGAACAATGGGTACCACAGGAGAATTGCTGAATGCAGCAAGATAATCGGCCATTTCCGCCCGGCTCCGGGGGCCGTGCTCCGTGTCGATCACCACATAGTCCAGGCCAATGCCACCCAGGGCTTCAACCCAGCGGGGGTTACGTCCGTGAGTGATCATCGTGCCGTAGACACGGCCGCCTTCCTGCAGGGTGGCCTTCAATTCTGCTCCGTTCATGGATTCCTCCGATTTTCATGTTTTAGATAGAGAGGATATGGCATACTCAAGCCTACCTCCAGAGGCAGGCTGCTGGTCAGGGGCCAAGTATAGCATTGGCAATATGGGGCAGGAAGGCAATAGTGCTCTGCTATAATCGGTCTGCCGAAAGAATCTGTCTTGGCGGGACGACTGTGCAGCAAGCCCAGCAAATAGCAACGCAGGAACGGTGGGACAAGGTAGCGGACAGCTTGGCCAGCTTCCCTGAATTGGCCATCGACACCGAATCCAACAGCATGCACGCCTACCGAAGCAGGATCTGCTTAATCCAGATAGCTTGCTCCGACGCTTCCTACCTGGTTGACCCCCTGGCCGTTCGAGACCTTTCAGCCCTGGGCCACATCCTGCAAGATTCATCTATAACCAAGGTGATGCACGGCGCGGACTACGATATGCGCTGTTTCTACCGTGAGTACGGCTTTGAGGTTTCCGGCCTGTTTGACACAGAAACCTGCGCCCGATTCCAGGGAATGCTCAGCCCAAACCTGGCAGCGGTAATAAAGGCCTACCTGGACGTAGAAATTCCCAAAAGCCGGCGGCTGCAAAGATCCGATTGGGCGCTGAGGCCTTTGAGCGTAGAAGCCACAGCCTATGCGGCGGCCGATGTTCAACACCTCATCGCGTTGGCAGCTAAGTTGCGGCGCCTTTTGAGAGAAGCAGGTCGGCTGGAATGGGTTGCTGAGGAATTTGGCAGGCTGGAAGCAGCGGGACAAGTCACTCAGGAACACACGGAGCCTGCCTATTTTCGGGTCAAAGGATGCGATCGGCTTGACCCTCAACAAATGGCGGTTCTTAAAGAGTTGTTTGAGCTTCGAGAGGCGGAAGCGGAAAGGGCCGACGTGCCGCCTTATCGAATTATGGGAAACGACGTGTTGTTGTTTCTGGCCCGAGAGCCACATACTGCGCTGGAGAATGCGCCAGGTCTTTCGCCGTCGCTGGCCCGAAGGTCGGGTAGCAACATTAGGTCAGCGATACAAAAGGGACTGCGCGGGCCTGGTCTAAAAAGGGAGCCACGTCCAAGGAGGCACCAACCTCCCAGCAAGGACGTTCAAGTCAGGTTGCAGGGCCTCAAGGAGTGGCGAACGGGAAAAGGCGCCGCTTTGGCACTGGACCCGGCTCTGATCTGGCCGGCCATCAGTCTTGAGCGGCTGGCTCAAGACCCGAAATCCTGGAACGAGGAACTGGGAGCCGCCGAGGTCAGGTCGTGGCAACGCCGGGAATTTGCCGTGGAACTGGAAGAGGCGTTCCACGGAATTAGCGTATAGCCTTGTTATACCTGCCCATAACTCTTGGCTCGAAGTGTACAGACTTGCTAGTACGGTTAAGCACCGGTGGTATCTGACCTGACGGTATAGGTCAGGAGCCGTTTGTGATCAGCCTGCGGCAAAAGGTTGCCGTGTTCACAAGATCCGGGATTACCACGTATTCGTCCACCGTGTGCATTTCGTTGGTGGCCATCCCAACCACCACGCTCTGGATTCCCTGGAGCCGCATTACGTTGCCGTCGGTGCCGCCGCCAGATGGGCGGATATCGGGAGTGAGCGCCATTCCCTCCATGACCCGGCGGGTCATACGGACCACACCTTCTTCGGGATCCAGGTTATACATCTGGAAAAGCACTTCCAGTTCTTCCTGAATAGTTGCGTCTAGATACTTGTCTCGCGCCTGATTCAAGGTGGTCAGCAGTTGCATCCTCATCAGATCGAAGGTCTCGGTATTGCGGCTGCGAAATTCGCCACCAAAGAATGCCTCGACCGGCACCGCGTTTCTCACGGTCCCGCCGGAAATGAGTCCCACGTTAAAGGTCGTTTCCTCGTCGAGTCGGCCCTGGGGAAGGTCCTGGATGATTTCTGAAGCTATGCGTATCGCGGAAAGGCCTTTCTCCGGTTCCACTCCGGCATGGGCGCCCCGACCTTTGACCGTAACGTCAAAGCTCATGTAGCTGGGGCTGGAACCGGTTATGGTACTTACCGGGCCGTTGCCGTCGAAAACAACCGCTTCGAGGGCACGGATCATCGAATAGTCCAAATTGGTGGCGCCCACCAGACCAATTTCCTCTCCCCGAGTAAAGACAACCTGCACCGGTCGGTGGGGCAGGCCCTCTTCCATTACAGACTGCAAACCTTCCATAATCGCCGCTACACCGGCTTTGCAGTCACCACCCAGGATGGTCTCACCCTGAGAAACGATTCTTTCACCTTCAATAACCGGGATTATCCCTCGTCCCGGCTCCACTGTATCCATGTGGGCGGACAGCAACAGAGGCAACTCCCCGGGCTCCGAGGCAATGACGTTACCGTGGGCATCCCGCTCAACACTTAGTCCCAGGTCGCTCAACCGGGCTATCAGATGCTGAGCAACCTCTTCTTCCTCGTCAGAAGGACTGTCAATCCGTACCAGATCGCAGAAGGAATTTACCAATCGTTCCTGGCTGATCATTGTATGTCACCTCGTATCAAATGCCCACGAAAACTGGAAAAATTATACCACCCATCAGTTTGCGACTATCCCATATTCTCGGCTTGCCCAAATCTGTCACCTCGTCGACGCGCCAGCCTTGTAAGGTTTCGATGCCTTAGGGCGACAGGGCTATGAGCGCCAATCCCAGAACTATCATCAAGGAGCCCATTAGCCTGCCGCGACCAAAGGGTTCCTTGAGTACCACGAAGCCGACAAGGACACCAATTACAATGGAGACCTCCCTGGCTGGAACTATATAGCTAACTCTTGACAAGGAAACGCTGTGAGGATAGAGGCATAAGCAACGTACGACAGAAGACCGGCCACTGGGATTGCCCACCATGTGCCAAGCCAGGCTCCTTTAATCTGAGAGAGGCTATAGTTGCGAAAAATATATGGCAAGAGTCCTACGGAAACCCCAGCGGTAAGCAGATACATGTAGAGAAATGGATGGACATATTCAACGCCACGTTTATCAAGAAGGGAATAGACGGTGACGGTAAAGCCGGTGAGAAGGGCATAGAAAACGCCGCTATCCCTGGCGAAGCCCACAGGATTGGCAATTATCTGCCGGAAATGGCCCCACCAGGATACGGTGTATATGCCCACAACCACGAAAGCAATACCCAGGATAGCCGGCCATTCGATTCGTTCACCCAGGGTCAAGACTGCCAGCATCGGGACCAGCATGGGACCAGTACCGCGAGCTATGGGATAGACCAGAGACAAGTCTCCCCGAGTGTAGGCGCGGCCCAAGAGAATCAAATAGAAAATTTGCATCACAATGGATGCAAGAACCAGCCAGTGTCCCGGTCGGGCGATAGGATTGAGCAGGAGAAGAGTGATTCCCAGGGGGGCCAACAACACTGCCCCGCTAACGGAAAACCACCAGACAAAAAGCTCCTTGTTTTCCGATTTCTTGAGCAGCAGGTTCCAACCGGCGTGAGAGACGGCCGCTACCATAATCAGAACCAAAGAAAGCGTAGTCATGGCGCGAGTATAGCTTAAACTGGAGAGAGCAAAGCCCCGAATCTTACCTCATAGGGCAATTTCGACAGGGCAATAAAAAAACCGCCAGGAGCCACTTCCGGCGGGGAATTGGATATGCATACATTTAGAGGTTGGTAGCGCATAGGGGATTCGAACCCCTGATCTCCGCCTTGAGAGGGCGGTGTCCTGGGCCGCTAGACGAATGCGCCACACAAAAGGCTGGAAAACGGCCCTTCTTTCTCCAGCGAAAGTAATATATCAGAACTGGTATTCTTTGTAAACCACCCTATGGCGAAGGCAATCGCCCTTTGTGTAAACCAAGTGTGGGAGATGCACGACAACCGAAACTTTTGCCATTTCAGGTCAGGACTCGGGATTCAACCCCGGTCTAGTTAGTGTTCAGATGTGCAGGGAAACTTAGCCGGTCTGGCGACTTGCGGGTCTCTTTGCAGGCCCACGGTCACCCGAACCAAGCCGTAAACCACATTGGCCAGGGTTGCCAACGGGCCGCTGAAACTGGCACCGGCAAGGGTGCTGTGGTATATTATCGAAGCTAATATATACTGAATTCGTAAGCTCTTTAGTCGCCTAAGGTCAGGAAATTGCATTATGGTCGCCAATCCCGAAACTGGCTCCATGGATACCCAACAGACGGGCACTAGCATCGGCGAAGGCGTCGTCATCATAGACTTTGGTTCCCAGTACAGCCACCTTATTTCGAGGCGCGCCAGGGAATTGAAGGTCTATTCGGAAGTTGTCACTGCCTCTTCGACCTGGGAACGGGTTACGGAACGCATTTTGCCCAAGGGAGTTATCCTTTCGGGGGGACCAGCCAGTGTTTACGAGCAGGGTGCGCCACTAATTCCGGGTTGGGTTTTCGAGCAACAGTTGCCGGTATTGGGGATATGCTACGGCATGCAGGCCCTCGTTCACCAGATGGGCGGGATTGTTGCGCCTGGTGACAAGCGGGAGTACGGGTCTGCCATTCTCCGCCAAAACGCGATCGAAGGAGCCGAAGGTGACCTGTTCGCCGGTTTGCCCAGCGATATTCAGGTCTGGATGAGCCACGGAGACCGAGTTGACTCGCTTCCGCCAGGATTTGCCTCGGTGGCCTGCTCTGACAATTCTCCCTACGCGGCCATAAGCAATGGCGAAGCTCTTTTTGGCCTCCAGTTCCACCCTGAAGTTGAGCACACTCCCCTGGGACAAGAAATCCTGGAAAACTTCCTCTACCGGGTGTGCTATTGCCGTGGCACGTGGACTCCGAAGAGTTTCGTTTCCGATTCTATCCACAGAATCAGAAACCAGATTGGAGACGGCAGGGCGATTTGCGCCCTCTCCGGAGGAGTGGATTCTTCCGTGGCCGCCGTGCTCCTCCACCAAGCTATCGGTGACAAGCTTACCTGCATTTTCGTCAACAACGGATTGTTGAGAAAGGGCGAAGCAGAGCAGGTACAGGACACCTTCCGGCAAAACCTGGGATTGAATCTGCTGTACGTTGACGCTTCGGAGCGGTTTATAACCAGGCTGGCTGGCGTGACAGACCCGGAAGTCAAGCGAAAGGCCATTGGGGAAGAATTCATTCGGGTCTTTGAAGAATCGGCTATCGAGCTGAGCGACACTCAGTTCCTGGTGCAGGGAACTCTTTACCCGGATGTGATTGAGAGCGAGACACCGGACAACAGGGCTTCCGCTCGAATTAAGACTCACCACAATGTCGGCGGCTTACCCGAGCACATGGATTTGGACCTGGTCGAACCCCTGCGTTACCTGTATAAGGATGAAGTTCGAGAAGTTGGGATGGAATTGGGATTGCCCCGTGAGATAGTGATGCGGCAACCCTTCCCTGGGCCGGGCCTGGCCATCCGCATAATCGGCGAGGTTACCGAAGAACGACTGGAAATATTGCGGGAATGTGACTGGATTGTCCTCGACGAGATTACCAGGGCGGGACTTTACGAGGAAATATGGCAAAGCTTCGCGGTTTTAAGTGACAGTCGCACCGTGGGAGTCATGGGTGACTTCCGCACCTATGGATATGTTTGCGCCATCCGGGCCGTCTCCAGCAGCGACGCCATGACAGCGGACTGGGTGCGGTTGCCCTACGACGTGTTGGGCCGTATCTCCACAAGAATAGTCAACGAGGTCCCGGGGGTTAACCGGGTAGTGTATGACATTACCAGCAAACCTCCCGGTACCATCGAATGGGAATAGCCTGAATTGGCTGTCAGGTTAGCGAAACATCGTTTTAGTGAAGGACGGGTTCTGAATTTATTACCCGCAGGTTACTTGGATTTTTTGGCCTCAACATAGCTAATACTGGAGTCTGTATCCATTGAAAGTCCTGGTTGTCGGTTCCGGTGGCAGAGAACACGCCCTTGCGTGGCGCTTGAAGCTTAGCCCCCAGGTTTCGGACCTGTGGGTGGTCGGCGGTAATTCAGGCACCGCCCAAATTGCCACCAACATACACGTTTCTCCCGAAGACGTCGAAGCGGTCTGCACAGTTGCCAAAGAACTGGCGGTTGATCTGGTTGTGGTCGGTCCTGAGCAACCACTGGCAAATGGATTGGCAGACCGGCTGACGGCCATTGGCAAACCTACTTTTGGCCCCACGAAAGTCGCAGCCCAACTGGAGGCCAGCAAGAGTTTTGCCCGGCGGATTTTGCAGGAGGCCGATGTCCCTGGGCCTGATTACCGTGTCTTCCAAAACCAGACTGCTGCCTTAGACTTTCTCTATTCCCACGAAGGCAGAGTGGTGGTCAAGGCCGACGGACTGGCTGCGGGCAAGGGAGTCGCGCTTTGTGCAAACACCGAAGAGGCCGCCATTGCCGTAAAGGGCTGTATGGACGCCCGGATATTCGGCAGTGCCGGGGATACCGTTGTTGTTGAGGAGTGGCTGGAGGGCACCGAAGTAAGCGTCTTTGCCTTCAGCGACGGACAACACTTGTCCACGCCAGTGGCAGCCTGCGACTACAAGCAGGTAGGGGATGGCGACCAGGGGCCAAACACCGGGGGCATGGGGAGTTTCGCGCCGCCGGCCTTTTGGAATAGCGACCTCGCGGAACAGGTATCGCAAGAAATCCTCATGCCAACTGTTGCAGCAATGGCTGACAAGGGTTGTCCTTACAAAGGTATGCTCTATGCCGGACTTATGTTTACGAGAGAGGGCCCCAAGGTACTGGAGTTCAATTGCCGGTTTGGAGACCCGGAGACCCAGGTTATATTGCCACAGCTGGAAAGCGACCCGGTAAACGCAATGACCGCCTGCATAGAAGGTACACTGGACAGGTCACAAGTTTCCTGGGCTTCCCTGGCGCACGTTGGCGTCGTAATGGTCTCCGGTGGCTACCCGGCTGCCTACGAGACGGGTAAAGAGATAACCGGATTGTGCATCAGTACAGACACGTGTGGGCTAATGGGTTTTAATTCGGGTACTCTGGTTTTCCATGCGGGTGCCCAGCAGGCCAGGGACGATGCAGGGGTTGCATGTGTCGTGACCAGCGGCGGCAGGGTTTTGACGGTAGTGGGCCGAGGTGAGTCGATCGAACAAGCCCGCAATCTGGCCTACCGCCGAGTAGAACAGATTCATTTCGAGGGCGCAAATTACCGGCGTGACATCGGCGAACTTTCCGAGGGGAACCGGAGAGAACTGTGACCGTAGCCAATCTTCCTGCAGACCGGTTTCAATTGGCGCAGGCTTACCGGGAAACCGCGCAAACGGGTGCTTTGGCCAGCTTCTGGAAACGGCGTTGGTCCCAAGCGGCTGTTATGGCGGAGTGGCTGGACCAGAACCAGTTGCCTTCGCTGACCGAGAAGCAGGCGTTGGCACTATATCGAGCCTCCGGCGGCAGCAAGCCCAAGGAATTCTCCGGCAACCCTTTGGCTGAGATTTTTGATACCCTGGATTTTCTGCTCTATGATACTATCACCCTTGAAGCTCGTTTCAACGAATGCGTAGCTGAGGACGGTGCGTATAAACTGGCAGGGGCCGGCAAAGAATTCGCCTCATACATTCTTTGCCTGAGGCAACCGGGTCTGTTGGGAGTGTGGAACCCCTCTGCCGAGCGGGCACTTAGACGTCTGGGCCGCTATCCCAAAGGCTTGAACAAAGGCCACTTAGGGTTGCGATACATGGACCTGTTGGACGCCGTTCAACGGCTGCGCCCCGAATTCGGCTTGGCGGATTTCCGCGAGGTCGATGAGTTCTGCTATTTTGTTAGCCGAAGAATCCCTGCCGTCGCATTAACCGGGGGCGAATCTGTAACGGTGGCGGCCGAGGAAAAAGGCAAGCCGGAAAGGTGAGGAACTGATGGCCTGGCGGGACAATCTCTTGGAATTGAAGAAAGATCTCGATACGGCGTTGGCGCGTACTATGGGTGAGCCGGTGGAAGAGGACCCGGAGACCGAACGGGAACGTGAGGAGCTCTACCAGCTGGCTGCGTCCCTTCACATCGCTCAGATGCTGGTGGACCTCAATGAGGTGGTCCTCGGGGGGGCTGGCAAAGTGGAATCGACGTCGCTTATGGACTACTATGATGACGACGATGAAGTCTTAGAGATAGCCGACGAAGACGCGGATGACATTGATGAGGACGAAGGCACCCTCGAGGAGGGTGTGGAGATTAGATTCTCCCTCGTCTGGGATGATGTGACCGAGTGTGCCGTAGATGTGGAGTTAGGCAAGACCAACGGCCGCATCTGCATGCTGGTGAACGGCGAAGAAGTCCGCCAGCAGCGCGAAGTCCTGGAGACGGCAGTACTGGATGCCTTTCGGGACGAAATGGACCTGGAGTAAGAAAACATATTTGAATTTGGAAGGAATGACAACGTGCCACTAGTAGGAGTAATAATGGGCAGCGCCTCCGACGAGCCCGTGGTGAAGGAGACGCTAGAAGTCCTGGAGCAAATGCAAGTAGATTATGAAGTCCGGGTTATGTCGGCCCACCGGACGCCTGAACGGGTGCAGGAATACGCCACCACAGCCCGCGACCGGGGGATAGAGGTATTGATTTCCGCTGCCGGCGGTTCCGCCGCCTTGGGTGGAGTCCTGGCCTCCTGGTGTACTTTGCCGGTCATTGGCATACCCCTGGCATCCAGCGAACTTAACGGCTGGGACTCACTATTGGCAACGTCGCAGATGCCCCCGGGAATACCGGTCGCCTGCATGGCCGTTGGAGCTTGGGGAGCAAGAAACGCAGCCTTCTTTGCCGCCGAAATCTTGGGCCTCCGACACGAACACATCCGGGAAGCCTACGAGAACTACCGGAAGCAGCTGCGGGAGCGCTAGCGTGAATCCGGCAATTCTTACCGACTTCGACGACACTGCCGCCGTTCAAAACGTAGCGGAAATGCTTCTCCACCAGTTCGGTGATAATTCCTGGCAGGATGTACGCGCACGCTTTCGTGCCGGCGAACTTTCTCTCAAGGACTACCAGGAAATTACCTTTAACGACATTCAGGCCGACCGGGAAACCATGCGGGCTTACGTTAAGGAAAACGCCGACCTGCGCCCCCACTTTCGAGAACTGTGGGAGTATTGTCGGGAAATTAACAGCCCACTGGCGGTGGTAAGCCTTGGCCTGGATTTCTACATACGGGCCCTGCTGGAAAAAGAAGGAGCCGCGGACGTTCCTGTTTATTGCGTTAATACGCGTTTCACGCCCGAAGGGATCAGCTACTACTATCACCACGCATACCCTGGCGAGGAAGAGCGGGGCAATTCCAAGGGGCTGATAGTGGACCGGTATCAGCAGCTTGGCTATCACGTTATTTACGTAGGTGACGGCCGCTCCGACTTTGAAGGAGCCGAAAGGGCGGATACCGTCTTTGCCCACAGTTTTCTGGCAGAAGAGTGTGACAGGCAAAGTATCCCCTATCGCCCCTTTAACGATTTTGGCGACGTGATGGCCACAACAAAAGAATTGCTGGGCTTGACTGGCACCTGACCCTGCTCCCCAATGGTTTTGCGCGCTGATTGCCGAAAATCAAAAGACAATTACTCTGAGATACTACAAGCCCAGGGAGGGTAAGGATTGATTGACCGATACTCCCGACCGGCGATGAAAAAGGTCTGGTCGGATGAGAACAAATACCAGAAATGGCTCGACGTAGAGCTGGCAGTGGCCGAGGCGTGGACGGAGGAGGGTGTTATTCCCCTGGAAGACATGGAACGGCTGCGTCCGGTCCAGTACAACCATCAGCGAATGATGGAACTGTTCGAGACAACGCGGCACGATGTCACTGCTTTTCTCAGCTCTATAACGGAAGGCATAGGCCCAGAGGGACGCTGGCTGCACTTGGGAATGACTTCGTCCGACATGCTGGATACTGCCCAGAGCCTGCAGATGGTGGAGGCCGGAGAACTGCTCCAACAGGAGTTGTCTCAAGCTATCGAAACGCTGGAAAAACAGGCGGTGGCATACAAGGACACCATAATGATGGGCCGAACCCACGGTGTCCACGCCGAACCAATGACTTTCGGTTTGAAGCTGGCCTTATGGAGAGAGGAACTTAAGAGGCAGTTGGACCGCCTTCGGGAAGCTTGCGAAAGCATTCGAGTTGGCAAGATCTCCGGCGCCGTGGGCACTCATGCCACCATTCCTCCTGCCGTAGAAGACAAGGTGTGCCAACGGCTGGGTTTGGAAGTTGCGCCGGTATCCAACCAGGTTATCCAGCGTGACCGGTACGCACACTTCGTAACTACCCTGGCTCTTGTGGCGGCGTCATTGGAGAAGTTCGCCACCGAGATACGGTCCTTGCAGCGTACCGAATTGCACGAGTTGGAAGAGCCCTTCGGCCAGGGACAGACCGGGTCATCTTCCATGCCCCACAAGCGCAATCCGGAATTGGCCGAGCGTATTTGCGGACTGGCAAGACTTATACGTGGGCACAGCGTAACCGCTCTGGAAAACGTAGCCCTGTGGGGAGAACGGGATATCAGCCACTCTTCTGCCGAACGCATCATTCTGCCTGACTCGTGCCTGGCATTGGACTACATACTTTCCATTTTTACCCGAATCGTGAAGGACCTAAGGGTGAATTCCGACCGGATGTGGGTCAACGTGGAGAGCAGCCGGGGCCTTGTCTTCAGCCAGAGAGTACTCCTGGCGTTGGTGGACAAGGGAATGGCCAGGGAGGCTGCATACAAGGTAGTCCAGCGAAATGCCATGCGCAGTTGGGACTTTGGAGAGGATTTTCGCGAATTGCTGCGCTCCGACCGTGAAGCTCAGGAATGGCTCCCTGGCAGCAATATGGAAGAGTTGTTCGATTACGGCTATTACACCAGGTACGTGGATGACACTTTCAAGCGAATTGGCCTGCTCCCACTAGAGATTGCTGCTCAAGTCTGAGTATAGTTCCATATCCCCCAGGGGAATCGCCGGGGCAACTGGTCCGGCAGGTTAACTCGAAGACCATTCCGTTCGACCTATATAGGCCTTAATAGCTTAACCAACTGTTCCAACCTAATGAACAACAATACTTATAACAGGGTTTTTGTATGCTGATTGAATCCGGATTGCCAAACCTACTTCACCGGGGCAAGGTGCGCGACACCTATGCCATAGATGACTCACTGTTGTTGATGGTGGCTACTGACCGCATTTCCGCCTTCGACGTGGTCTTGCCTACAGGAATTACCGAAAAGGGCAAGGTGTTGAATCGCATATCAAGTTTTTGGTTCGCTCAGACGGCCCACCTGATTCCCAACCACCTCGTAGCTCTTGCCGACTCCGGTGAAGCGGCTTCTTACCTGGTCAAGAATCCCGACCTAGAAGGCATATCAGCTGAGCTGGCAAGCCAGGCTATGGTCGTAAAGAAAGCGGAACGCATCGACATCGAGTGCATCGTCCGGGGTTACATCACCGGGTCTGCCTGGTCGGAATACCGTCGACAGGGCACGGTTTCGGGGAAGCCCATGCCCGAGGGTTTAGTGGAAGGAATGGAGTTTCCTGAGCCCCTCTTTACTCCTACCACCAAGGCCGAGGAAGGCCACGACCAGAACATGTCCGACCAGGAGGTCGAGGACATGGTGGGCGCCGACATGGCCCTGAAACTGGGCGAAGCCAGCAGGACGGTCTACAAATTCGCCCACGACTACGCGCGGGAGCGTGGAATTATCCTGGCCGACACGAAAATGGAATTTGGTACTTTGAATGGCCAGTTGATATTGATTGACGAACTTCTGACGCCGGACTCGAGCAGATTTTGGGATATGGAGGGCTATGCGCCTGGAAAGTCCCAGCCCAACTTCGACAAGCAATTCGTCCGTGACTGGCTGGTAGAGCAGGGCTGGAACCAGGAACCGCCCGCCCCTGAACTTCCCAGCGAAGTTGTGACCCTTACTACCGAACGCTATAAAGAGGCCTATCGCCGGCTTACCGGCACGGACCTTTAGGCTCTAACGGCCAGACAGCACTCAATCTGGAGGTTATTAAATTGCCTGAAATCACGGCGCCGCCGGCGCAGGTCCTCACAAAGGGGACGCGCCGCGGAGATGGTCATCACCCAGCCCCGTCGCAAGACCAACTACTGGTATGTCGCTGCTTCCGGAATCATTGCCTTCCTGGTAATCGCCGGTTTTGTGGTGGGTGGCATCAGCTTCCAGGGGAACGACAGTGTCGGCAACAGCGACGAATACGTAGAGGGCGTTGGCGAACTGCAGGAAGTTATGCCCACGCGAATCCACGTTTCTGAAGACGAGAACGTCGCTTACAGCACTTCTCCTCCGACCTCCGGAGACCACTGGGACTGGTGGGCGCGCTGCGGTTTCTACGACGACGGTCTGCCAGACGAACGCATTGTCCATAACTTGGAACATGGAAACATTGTGGTCAGCTACAACCTTCCCGACGGTGAAGAGTTGGATAGGTTGAAGGAGTTCAACAACAACTTTGAACTGGCGCCGGCTTGGGGAGTGTTCCGCTATTACGACAGGATTGCCGTAGGAGCCGTTGCCCTGTCCGCATGGGGTGTCCTGGACACCATGCAGGGCGTGGACGAAGACCGCATCGAAGAGTTCTTCAAAACTTACGCCGGTACTTTGGGGCCGGAATTCCCCAACGGCGCTCCCTGCACTACCAGCGGCGTAATGGAATAAGTTTTTCGGTCGGCGATGGTGCAGACGTCAGCCTGTGTCGCCTCCTTTGCACCTGAACCGTACAGACAAGGTTAATTGATTTGTTCCTGGCAAAAGTATACGTAACTCTCAAACCAACCGTGAACGATCCCCCAGGGCATTACCGTGCTGGGAGGCTTGCGTAACCTGGGATTTGAGTCGGTGGAAGAGGTGCGAGTAGGAAAATTTCTCGAGGTTAGAGTTGGCGAGGCTGACCGCAGCCAGGCTGAGGCTATAGTGACCGAAATGTGCGACAAGCTGCTGGCGAACCCGGTGATTGAGCAATACACAGTGGACCTGGAAGAGATAAGCAGCTAGGTTGATTGCTGCATACAGGGTTCATGAATCCGAAGTCCGCTGGTACGCCGGGGCTCCAATGAGGGTCCCGGCGTTTTTCGTGGAGGCAAGTTGACAAGGCTATGTCATTTTGGTGCAATAGCTCCAATTCCTGCTCCCCAACACTTTATGAGAAGGAGAATTCGCCGTGACTTCCAACAGTAACAATACCTACGCCTACGTTGGTGCCGAAAACAATGGCCTCTACCGGCTATCACCCGGCGCGGAAAGCTGGGAGGAGTTGACCAACGGCCTCCTGCCCGAGAATCCAATTGTGCCCGCGGTAGCCGTCCACCCCAGCAACCCGGCGATAATCTTTGCCGGCACCCAGAACGGACCCTACCGCAGCACCGACCGGGGCGATCACTGGGAACGCCTCGACTACCCTTCCCTGGCGCCACCGTCTGGACATCTCCTGTCCGCGGACCCGCCCAGTAATTACTCGCCTGCACCGCGGTGAACTCATCGCAGCACATCAACTGGGGTGACTCCATGCGACCGAAACTCACCTGCCATGGGGTTCTAACGAAGTCAGCATGGCCTTCCCCACCCGCGTCATAGGGCTAACCGCCGATCCCAGCTTCCCGGACGAAATGTATGCCGCACTGGAAGTGGCCGGCGTCATGCGTTCTACCGACGGCGGAGATTCCTTGGATGATATTACCGGCAGCCTGGCCCCCAGCGAGGACACACTGGACCTCCATGGAGTGCAGTGCACCGCCGCATCGCCCCGAACCGTATTCATAACCACGCGGGTAGGGCCCTTCATCGGCCCGGATCGGGGCAGCGAGTGGATTCCAATCGACTTTGGCAAATTCTCGGAGATAACCTACACCCGAGACCTGTACGCAGCGCCCCACGACCCCAACATGCTCTTTGTGTCCATCGGAGCCGCGGCCCGCAGCAGTCAGGGCGCCCTGTTCCGCAGGCGAGATCTGTTCAAGACCTTTGAGCCCGTAGGCGCGGGTATATCCGCCAACAGCACTATGATGGCGGTTAGAATAGATCCGAGGGAACCGTCCCACGTATTCTTTCTGCGCCGCTCGGCGACGAGGCCATGTCTTTGGTCGATAGAGATGACGTTGCTGCAACTGACCAGCTGCCGGAGAAGGCGAAGGAAGTACGGGGGCTAGCAGTAGGCTAAGTGTGCGCTGCAACCGGTTAGGTCCATGCGGTGTCCGGCGCTGCTTTTGAACTGGCCTAGAGGCACGGTTTGGTTCGCTGCATGCGAAAGTCCACTGAAAACTGTCAAACAATATGAGGAGCCGTTGCCCAAATGGGCAACGGCTCCTCATATTTTCTCGTCTACCGGAGGCTACGTCGAAAGGTTGGCCTGAAGCCGGTCAATAATCTCCTCAACGGTGGCCTGCTGCCAGGCTTCCGCCCGAGCCGCCGTCCGTGCCCGTCGCTCCCGGCCGTAGTCCTGGTCATTGATGTCGGGATTCTCGGCACGGATGGCTTCCTCAATATCCATGATTTCTCTTTCGGCCACTTCAGGACGCTCGATCCAGTGCAAGATGTACCGGTGGTCCGAAGTGTAAAAGACGGCGGTGGGAATAGACATCCATTCCCCATTTTTGAGGAATTCGTTCATTATGTCGTGGTGCTGGTCCCTGGGGAAAACTCGCATTCCCCACCCGGCGGCCTCGGCCATGCGGGCTAGTACGGGCAAACCCCGCACTACATCGCCACACCAGTCTTCGCACAACACCAACATCTTGGTGGGGCCGTTGGGGTTGCTGGCCAATTCTTTCAGCGAAGCCTCGTTTTCCGACGTTACCTTGAAGTTTTCGTAGAAGCCATCCATCCGTTCCTTGTTCACATTGATCTGGGCCATGTAGTCTGAGTAGGCGAACCCCTCGCTGAATCGCTGGGGGGTTACTGCGCTGGTATTGCTGGCCATAAACTGCTCCTCCTGTCTTCCTGATTCCTGTGGCTTTATGTCCAATTGTTTTCGTTGCTCGCCGTTACGGCCAACTGGCCGTCAGCCGATTTCTCAACCTCGGTGCCCTTCGAATCCTATCTCCACGCTGCCGTCGGGATATACGATGATGGGCACACTGTCTCCGAACAGAAGGGCCTCGTCCAAAGTGTCCTGGCTTTGGTCGACCCTTTTTTCCTCATACTTGATTCCCTGGCGACGCCACGCGTCGCGCAACCGGTCGGAGGCCGGTCAAACAGTCAGGGTATAGACCACCGGAATATCCGCCATATCAAGCCTCCTGTCCCGCCTTGCAATCGAGCCCAATCGGGTGGGTTTGGTGCCATTCTACAACGGCCAACGCTTAGTGTCATTATGGCACGGCGGGTGGTTCCGTTCGCAAGTCGGGTCTGCTCCAATTCAGAAGACCCGGCGAAGATCCTGAGATCTAACGGAACCACACGAGGCGGTGATCAAAGCTCGCCAGAGTTCAGTTGTCTTGCCCAATGGCCCCGGATATAATGGCCCTGTTTTGAACAGGCTACGGTGATACTCTGTTGGCTTTTGATTCGCCAGTCCCCATTTGGAGATAACTCAAGACCCGAGGAGGAAGAATGATCGCACTAGTGGTGACCATCAACATTAAACCAGGTTTTAAGGAACAGTTCATGGCGTCAATGATGGGCGATGCCATTGGCTCCAACAACGACGAGCCAGGCTGCCTGCGCTTCGATGTGCTACAGGACAACGAGCACGAGAACCGCATTCACTTGTACGAAGTTTACGACGACGATGCCGCAGTAGAGGCCCACCGGGCGGCGCCACACTATACAAAGTGGCGGGCTGAAGTAGCAGACTGGTTTGACGGAGAGATCATCCGCAACATCGCTACGCCGGTTTACCCGGCACCCGAAAAGTGGGTAAAGCGGCCCCCCGTTGACTGAACTGTAGGCATGCTTTGTCACTACGAAGGGCATCCCCAGTTTGCGGGATGCCCTTTATTGTTCGGCTTTCAATAACCCTTTAACAGGAGACCCAATCTTCTAGACGTTTCTTTCCAGTGCAGTCCGAAAGGCTTTCAGGAAGGCTTCAATGTCGTCCTCGGTAGTTGCGGTTGAAGTCGCACCCACCAGATTGGACGCCATCAGGATCCCCTCGTTCAACAAGCCAAGGAACATGCGATCCCTCAACTCATGATTACCACTGGCAATATCCCGGTAGTTGTTCACGGGATGGTCGCAGAAATGGATCCCAAAGAGGGAGCCCAAGCCTGTCACCTGCACCGGGACTTCCAGTGTTGAGCAAATTTCCCGGAGACCTTGCTTTAGTTCCTCGGTTAGCGCTGCCAGATTTCGGTACACGTCGGACGTCAACTGCTCCATCGCAACCGAGCCGGCCAACATTGTTAGTGGGTTGGCGTTGAATGTGCCGGCATGGGACACGACGGGCCCACCGGATGGGGATGGGTCGTAAAGCTCCATTATGTCTCTTCGTCCGCCGAATGCGCCTACCGGCAGTCCACCACCGATAATCTTGCCCAGGGCGGTCATATCCGGCGTCACACCGTAGAATTCCTGTGAGCCACCGGGGGCAACCCGGAAACTGATTACCTCATCGAAGATCAATACGGTGTTGTTGGCAGTAGCAAAGTCCCGGAGCATGGTGAGGTACTCAGGCTGAGCAGGAACCATGCCCACAGAACCCATTACCGGTTCAACAATGATCGCGGCCAAGTCGCAGGCATTGTCTTCCAGAATCCTCAAGGCCGTTGCCGAGTCGTTGAACGGAATGACGGTTACCTGATCGGTCACGCCCGGAACCAGGCCGGCGCTGGCCGGAACTGGCACTGGATTATCCGGGTCTCCGGCCAGCGACGGATCAACCCGCACACTCACCGTAACTCCATCGTGGGTACCGTGATATCCTCCCTCAACCTTGGCGAAGCGGGTTTTTCCGGTAAAAGCTCGAGCCGCCCGGAGAGTGTTCAATGTGGCCTCGGTACCGGAGTTAGTAAACCTAACCAGATCGAAACTTGGCACACGATCGCAGAGGATACGGGCCAAGTCCACTTGTCGTTCGTTGGGGGCGTTGTAGCCCAGCCCTTTGTCCAACTGCCGACGCACCGCGTTTATTACCGGGGCCGGGCCATGTCCCAGGATCATGGTAGTCATGGTGTTAATGAAGTCAATGCGCTGTACTCCGTCAGCGTCCATCACCCGACTTCCGGAGGCATCAGTGATAAAGACAGGATACGGTTTCCAGAATATGGAGTTCCGACTGTCCCCGCCTGGCAAATACTCACATGCTTCTTCCCACTTAGCGCGGGACATGGGAGTCAGTTCCAGGTATCGTTCCAGTTCCGAAGTGTGTTGAACCGCCAAATGGCCTCCTAACGGGCCGAACAAATAACTAATTGCCCTCTCTATCCGGCCGTAAGGACAAGGTTACAACCATCACCGACGAAATCCAAGTGCCAACCCTATGTACATCGACTGGCAGTGAAAGGCTTATTTGACTGTACCTTCCCCTGTGCTCCCGAGTAAGGGAGCCAAATTAGGATTTGAGGGAACTACGGCTGCGATTGTCCCGCGCCTCCTACTTGGATGGGATCTATGGGAACAGTCAAAAAGACCTAGAGGGGAGGGATTCACCGGAGTCGCCACGGCAGGAACCAGCTAAACCAATTGGCAATTGGAAGTAACGAAGAAATTTGTAGCAGAGATCACCGGCGGCGTTTCTATAGGTTGATTAGCCCCTGTGGAACACTTATAACACCAATTGTGGCTGGTTCAACAGCAATAATCGCAACTGTGGAGGGGAATCAGGCCGGTCAGGAAGGACGATCCTTCCTCTTTGCTGACTTTGATGGTGCGCAGGATAGCTTCCATGCTGTTCGGCAAGGCTGGGATCATACCCTTATTTGCACACTGGAATACTACCACTTGCTGGATTGTTCTGCGTAAACGTTGTCCGGCAATCTGTAGCTGATACCTTCTTCATCAAATAATGACGTCTCAAGCAGGCCGGAGAATTTGTTGAGGTTGGATGTTTGATTGTAGTTGGGCCTCAACTTTCGCCTGGTTTGGTCCAGCCATTCGTCTAAACGAAACTTGGCGACCACCCCGAAGGAAGAACCTCGTGGAAATTCCAATTCGTCTGCAAGGGTCTTGCCAATGAGACCACGAGTTAAGCGATACACATACTGGGCCAAATGATGCCTTTCGGCTGAATCTGATATTCCGGCCACTATCGGCGCCGAGTTAATCAAAGCGTGGGCCATGACTATAGATTCCAACTCGGAGGAAGGCTCACATATGAGTCCAATGTCGTACAATCTCAAGGCTTCCCGGGCATCTTTGAACAGGATGCTCTCAGGGATGCCCATCAGCCAACCGCTGTAGCGCCAGACAGCCATGAATCCGTCGTATTCCTCCTGGGTGTAAACGGCCCCCAGGGTCTTCATGTGCTTCAGCAGCCTCGCCGAAAAAGAGGAAATAGCATAGCCAAGATGCGCCGAACTGACGGGCAATCCCCACGCTTCATGATCCCATTCGGGCGAAGCGCTCGACAGAAGCCTCACTCGTGCGTGAATTGCGCGAATGCGGACGGACAACTTCCAGCCGTCCCCCTGCCGGTCCAAGCGACCCGGCAAGAAAATGTCCATCATGTGGCGGTTATTTTGGGTCAAACGCCTGGTGCCTTGATCTCGCACACGACCGGTAACGAAGAAAGACTTGGCAATGTTGGTCGTGAAGCCTTCAATGAGAACCCCGGCAACAAATGCCACCAGGATGGTCCTCGAATTCCGGTGAAACATACGGATTCCCGGGATAAAGGCGGAGGGGTCAACCCAACCGGGTGTAGTTGACGCATCATCGAAGAATCTTCGCAGCGAATCCGGAGCGTCCGGAAAAGCATCCCAGCCTTCGTTATCCATGCCAGCTTTGATTAGCCGGTTTTGGTCTTGGGGACTGAACTCCTCCAGGTCTGCTGCCATCTCCTCACCCAGCGGATCTCCGATTAGGGTATGCGCAACGTAATTGTCCGCTATTTCGGGTGCAACGGCGCGAGCCTTTTCATAACCTTGAATGTAATCTGTAGGGATATTCACGAGCGTTTGCACTTCATCTTTCCATCTGAGCCACTATTCGGGTGGTTTTAACCCTATCTCTCCCACCGATTCTCACTTCAATCCTGGCAGTCGCTCAGAACGCCGATACAGATACCTCTACCCTTTTATTTGCCCTCGGGCGACCATGATACGCGCCTGTATCAACTTTCAGTTTAGCACACCCGGCATACATAGCTACCTACTTCGCACTACCGCCTACCTGGTCTTCTTCTCCCTCTACTCTGAGATCCGGTAGCCAACGAAGGAAGGGTGGAAGGTACCAATTGCCCTTGCCCAGCACTTCCATGCTTGCCGGCACCAGCACCGACCGGACCAGGGTAGCGTCCAGAAATACTGCTATTGCCAGCCCGAATCCCACCAATTGATTAACCACGGTTACACCTGAAGCGAATGCCCCGAACACCACAACCATAATCAGGGCCGCCCCGGTTATCAGCCCAGCGGTGGACCGAAGGCCGTAGGCGACGGCCTCGGTGTTGTTGCCGCTCTCGTCGTAGCGTTCCCGTATCCGGCTGAGGAGGAATACGTGGTAGTCCATTGAGAGCCCAAATAAAATCGTGAACAGGAACAGGGGAATCCAGGCGTCTATGACGTCTGCCTGCTGAAAACCAAACAGTTCCGCCCCAAATCCCTTCTGAAAGACCAGCACAAGCAGCCCATAGGTTGCTCCCACGGACAGCAGGTTCATGATGATGGCCTTGAGAGGGATGACGATGGACCGGAAAACCATCATCAAGATCAGGAAGCTCAGGCCCAGAACGAAGGCGAAGACGATGGGGGTGTAAACATCGACTATGCCGTAGAAGTCTGTGGATTCCGCTGTCGGGCCGCCGACGTATACCTCGGCTGGAACTCCCTCAAACGCAGCCGGGATATGCTGTTCCCGGAGGTCGGTCATATCGTCGGCCGCCTCGGGGCTATTGGTCTTACCGGGGAAAGGTAAACTCAGCAGGGCCAGGTCCCGATCGTCGTTCACCACCATTGGTCGGGGAGGCAGAGGGAAGGCCGGGTCGGCCACCAGCGACTGGTGCAGTTTTTCAATTGCCTCAAGCACCTTCGGGTCATCTATGTCGCCGGACACCACAATTTCTGCCGGGCTCAAAAAGCCAGCAGGCGTGACTTCTCCAAAGGAAAATTCCTTCTCCATCAACAGGAAGGCTTTCTTGGTCTCGGCTTCGTCCGGGAAGGTGTTCACATCATTGAGGCCGGTGCGGATGTCCAGGTAGAAGTAGGAAAGGACCAACATCGGAACACCGACAATGAGAAGGCTAACTATGGGCTGCCAGGTAACGGTTTTAGTGATGAAGTCCCAAAATCCCCCTTCCGAGGTGTCTGCGCCCTTTAGGGCAAACCTCGAAAGGAAGGGTATGGTAAGGAAGTTCACCCGCCGACCCAACAAGGCCAGGACCGCAGGCAGAAGGGTCAGGGTAGCTGCCAACGTGGCCAGCACCACCAGGATCGCGCCCAAGGCGAGGGACTGGTAGAAAGATGCGGGCACGATGAAAAGGCCAACAAGCGCCAGCACGACAGTGACTCCACTGAACAGCACCGTTCGTCCTGCCGTATTTCCCGTTCGCACCACAGCTTCCCGCGGCGACAGACCATGTCCCAATTCTTCCTTGAAGCGCAGTACTATCAGCAGTGAGTAATCTATGCCCACTGCCAAGCCGATCATAACCACCATCATGTTGACAAAGAAGACTAGCTGAAACTGCTGGCCGATGATTGCGACCGCAGCCAGGGCGATAATAATGGAAACAATTGACAGCCCCAGGGGGAGCAAGGTGGCGACCACTGCGCCAAAGAGGATCAGCAAAACTATGAGGGCCACTGGGACGCCGAACCGCTCTCCATTTGCCAGGTCACTTTCTGCCAGTTCGAAGTTTTCATGGTTAACACTGGCGTTTCCGCCGATGAGCACAGTGAAGTCATTCCCTTGGTTCGCCTCTTCTACGACGTGGATGACGTCAGCGACGTTGGCCGTGGCTTCCTGGGACGAACCGGCCAGCGTGTAATGCAACATGACGGTGTTTTGGCCTGCGGAAACTAGCAGGGGAAGCAACTGCTGTTGCTGTTCCGGAGGTATGGCTGGCCCGGCATCAACCACCTGATAGTAGTGAGACACCGGCGAGTTACCTATGCCGCCGGATATGATATCCGGTCCCAGGGCAGAGATTTCCTCATGCACCGCTTCCACCTTGGCGCGAAAGCCCTCGTCGGCAACCGTCACGGTGGGAGACTGGATGATGACAATCTCCGCCAGCTTTTCCGGGCCCCGCAGACGCTCTACCAGCAAGGCGGAGGCCTTTTCAGATTCGTAGCGACCAGCCAGTCTGAAGTCCGTGGTTGTGGCGCTATCCAACAATGCGCCTGAGATTCCTACACTTACCACGACCAAGAAAACCCAAATGCCGATTACGATTAACGGTCTCTGTGCGCTAATTCGAGCCAGGTATCCGGTCACTACACACCTTCCCTTGCAATAAGGTCCCACCATGAACCTTGCAGCGCGATAGTCTAAATATTAGCATGGGGCGCTTTGGAGATGTATCTGTCACACCATTCTTCACAAAAAGGTCACAGGTAAGACCCGCCTGGTATAGACCTGGGACAAACAAGAAGAGAACCCGGTTGAGGCTGTTAGAGGCTAATTGAACTGCGTCTCACCAACCACCCCACCGTAGAAGATCTAAGCTGGGGAAGGGGCGGCAACCCGGGGAAAGTAGATAGTTCTAAGCGACCGACTGGTCAGGCTGAAGAGGATAGCAGCGAGAAAGAGGCCGCCGCCACCGGCCAGGATTACAGGTGCCGAAAGGAATGAAAAGTAGGTAAACACATTGCCTACATCGACCAAGCCGGCGTTGGATAAGTTGGCGAAAGCCATGCTTCCACCAACATGGAAGGAATAGACGCCAGCGACCCGCCCGCGCACTGAATCGTCCACGATGGACTGGATTACCGTGTGAGTGATGGTCATAAAGCCACCCTGGCTCATGCCAATGGCAATAGTAGCCAGCAGCGCAAGGAATGGGTCCGAGGAAATTGCCAGCATTAATGGTCCAATGCCGCTAGAGATACCAAATATCAAAAATAGTTTGCCTCTTACCTTAGCACTATGTATTCCTGCCAGCCACACCGCAGTCACCAGCGCGCCGATACCCACACCCATCAACAGGTATTGACTCCCGCGCTCACCGGGTATGCCCAGCTTACTCTCGGAGAGGATGGGCAGCATGGACTCGTAGGACATGGTAAATGCGCAGTGGGCCAGAACGATCAGGATCATTGCCAGGACCGTAGGGTGGGAATAAACGTAACCGAAACCAGCCGCCAAGTTGCCGAAGAACCCCCGGCTGGCATCCATACGGCCCGTTGAACGAGTCGCTATTCGGGCAACCTGTACCAGCCCTATCGCATACAGGACGGCGCAGGCCCAAAACACCGGTTCCTGTCCAACAGACTGGGCAACCAGGAACCCTACCAGACCGCCCAGGAAACGAGACCCCTGTTGGGTAGCCTCGTTGAGGGCAATAGCATTAGGCAACAATTCCCGGGGCACCAGGTTGGGGACCAGAGACTGGGTAGTAGTCATCTGCGCCGAGCGCAAAGTACCGTTGAGGAGGGAAAGACCCACCAGCCACCAGACGTTGACCAAACCCACCAACACCAGGAGAGCCAGCAGGATATTGTGAGCCAGGTTAAGTGTGTAAGTCCATTGGAGCACTGTTTGGCGGTCGACACGGTCTGCCAGAAAACCGGTGATTACGGTGGAGAAAACACGGGGAATCATCGCGGCAAAGGTGACGAGTCCCACCCACCAGTAACCGCCGGACAAGTCATCGGCAAGGGCGGCCCTGGCCGCAATCAGTGCCCAAGCCGCAGAGCCCGCGCACAGGTTCGCCGTCCAAAGGGTCAGGAAGTCCCTGTGTTCTAACGCCCGTAGAAAGCGATTAAACGGCGTGGCCAATGCCTCGCCAAGTCCACCTGCCAAAATCGCGCTCCGGAAACTGCTGAAGTTCAGGCTGCGCACCCGGCCCAGCGCTGATGGGAGAAGAAACCGGGATCTGAAGACCAGAGCATGTCAAAGAGTTACAGGACGGGATTACGGCTTCCCTTTCCAGACACTACCGATCTTCGCCGTTTCGATTTCGGGCATTATATACCTGTAACCAGTTCAAGAAAAGCCGACCTCCGAAGAGAGGGGAGGGCGCATTTCGCCGAAAGATGCTCCTGTTTATCTGGAAAGAACCTAGCTAACTGCGGCCCAACGAGGTATGCCCTGTATGCGCACACTGGCTACCAGATAGAAGGACTGGTTCAGACGGCGAATCTCGAGTTCATGGAATTCGTCGCTTACTTCCAGGTGACGGGAGATTGCAGCCAGCAAATCCCGCCGCAAATTGTCCTTGACGTCGGGCTCCAACATGTCGTACCGGTCTCGATTGATTGCATTTTGGAGTCGCTCTCTTGCAATACCCTTGGTGCCGTCCGGCATTTCCTTCGTATCGGTTCGGCCCATGGTCCGACGCAATCGACTAAGCATGGGTGTACTCGCTTCGGTTGATCCCCATGAGATACCTGACTCGGTCCATCAACCCGGATTTGGGTTCAAGGTCCATAAGCGGAACATCGTCACCGTCAATGCGAGCGGCAATTCGGGAAAACGCCATGCCTGAAGGGGACCTCTTGTCGTGAATGACAGGCACTCCCTGGTTGGTGGCAGTAATGAGCCGATCGTCGGCAGGCACCATCCCGAGGATATCCACGGCCAGTAACTCCACGATGTCGTCTTTGTCCAACATGTCGCCGCTCTTCACCATGCCGGGCCTTACCCGGTTAATGATTAGCCTGGGCCCATGAAGTTCGGCCGCCTCCAGCAGTCCGATTACCCGGTCAGCGTCGCGTATGGCGGAGACCTCGGGAGTGGTTACGACAATCGCTTCCTGGGCGGGGCCGATGGCATTGCGGAATCCCTGCTCTATACCAGCAGGACAATCAATAATTATGTAGTCATACTCCATCTCCAATTTACCGCACAGGTCGGTCAACTGTTCGGCGCTGATGCAGTTCTTATCACGGGTTTGGGCAGCGGGGATAAGATACAGTTCCTTCAGTTGCTTGTCACGGATCATTGCCTGGTGCAGTTTGCACCTGCCTTCAATGGCGTCCACTAAGTCGTAAACGATGCGGTTCTCCAGTCCCATCACCACATCGAGATTACGGAGGCCGATATCGGTGTCTATAACCACCACCTTGTGTCCCCGCAAAGCCAGGCCGGTACCGATATTCGCGGTCGTGGTGGTTTTGCCTACTCCTCCTTTGCCCGACGTGACGACTAAGGTCTTACCCTTCATAAAGTATTCCTCCCTGGTAATCTTCCCGCCGCCGGGTAAATGGGACTACGAAAACTGAGCCGCGGCGCAAATATGCAATCTTGGGTGCCACGGCACGGCTGTCAGACCTGGCTTGCTTCACGTCGTCGGGCGCCTTGCCTACGTGTGGACCAATCTGCATGCGGTGGGATTCCAGATTAAGAGCGAAAATAGTTGCCTTGGTATTATGGTCGGCGCCTTCCCGGGCCAAACCCCTGAGGGCGCCAAGCACTACTATGTCTCCCCCAGCAACGATTTCGGCTCCGGGATTGACGTCGCCATAAACCACCACGTCACCCGGATATTGAATTATTTCACCGGAACGGCAAGTGGCCTTAATGATCAGGACTTCACTTCCACGCCGCAGCCAGGAAGTAGTTTCCTTCTCGGGCGAGGCAGGCCGAAGGTCAGAGTGGTTATCGTTTCCTCCTCCTGACTCCTCAATCCCGACCGACGTCGACTCAGACATATCCTCGATTTCTGATTCTTGCCCTGGTTCCGACTCGGACATAGAGGGGGACTCGGTACTGGGAGCGGCTAATTCTTCACCGCCTTGCTCGGAGTCGGACGAATCTTTCTCTACACCAACATGGGTTTCCTGGCCCTCAGCCGGGTTAACTCGAGGCATCACCGCAACTATACCCGCACTTTCGTTGCTCTCTAGCGGTGATGCTTTGTCCTCGAACAGGTCCAGTATCATTTGACGGTCATCGACTTCCCGGTCTTGACAGTCCTCAGGCAACGGCATCTCCTGACTACTTGAAGGGTCTTCATTATCTTCAACAACAGCGTCATCCTGCCCACCAATTTCAGACTCGCCAAGGTGGGAGACATTCGTGGAGGCAGGACCAGTGGACGCTAGCTCAGGCCTCGCACTTGGCAGTGCAGCCAGAGCTTTTTGCAAAATCTCGGGAGCGCACCAATAGCGGGTCACCGTAAGTCCCGTTTCCCGGTCCAATATTTCCTTGATAGCAGTTAACTGGTCGGGAGCCAGGATGCGACGACCTACATTTACCGATACCGTGCCACTGGAATAGAGTCCACGGCATACCTCCAGGTACTCCCGCAGGCTCCTTTCTGCAATTTCAAAGGGCACACTGTCATCAATAGTGAAATCGACGTTGGTACCACGGCCCAACACCTGAATAGTTTCCGATTCCTGCATAAGGACTTCTTCTGCCTAGTATTGCGAATGCCTAGTATTGCGGAAATTCCAGCTCGTAAGAGCTGCCGAACCTGTCCAAAACATTCGACAATTCTGGGGCCGTGCTGGCCCAAAAGCTGTGGAATGCCTTAAACGGAATGCTTCCGAACAAATAGAGAACTACAGAGAAAAAGGCTAGAAAATAAGCCGGGTTATACCCGTAACACAAGGGACACCGCCTCACAACACTCTTACCCAGATTCCAGATTTTTTATATCAAGTTGCCATTCGCCCAGTCAAGGCTTATGTTTGGCGTTTTTTCAATAAATCTCACTTTAGTAAACTTCAAGTCGAGCATGCGACGTATTAAAAATCGGCTGACCAGCTTGGTCCGCCGAAACATGTTTACCCATCGAGGTGTCAACGCACTCCACTAATCAGGTTGATCTGTGATAGTCACGTAACACAGTTCTCCCTATCCCTCCTACGGAGCGGCGCCGAAAACTGCTACGGAACAGGTAAAGGAGCCAGGGCGACCCCCCAGGTTGTGGGTCAATCCCAAATCCGCCTTTTGCAATTGGCGGGCGTCCGCTTTTCCCTGGAGCTGTTTATAGACCTCGTAAATCATCCGGATCCCACTGGCCCCTATCGGATGGCCAAAACATTTGAGGCCGCCATCGGTGTTGACCGGCAGTTCGCCCTCCAGGGTGAAAGTGCCATCAGCCACGTCTTCACTTCCGCGGCCACGCGGACTGAATCCCAGATCCTCATAAATTATAAGCTCGGTTATGGTGAAACAGTCGTGTACCATGGCCATGTCGAGTTCTGCCCTGGGGTTCGAAATGCCCGCTTCCTGGTACGCCGACTGGCTGGCCCGAACGCTTTCCGGGAAATGAGTGAAGTCCCAGTCACTTCGAATGGCACCGAAGGCTCCCACAGATAAGGCCAGGGCTTTTACCAGCACATAGTCCTGCCGGAAACTGCGGGCAATCTCTGGGGTGGTGATAATTGCGGCCGCTGCCCCGTCGCTCACGCCACAGCAGTCAAAGAGACCGAGAGGCCAGGCAATCATCGGAGCGTTCACCACTTGTTCCGGGCTAATTTCCTGCTGGAAGTGGGCCCGTGAGTTTAGGGTCCCGTTGTGATGGTTCTTGGCTGCTATTTGTGCCAGGGTATGTTTTCCTTCATCGTACGATATGCCGTACTGGTGGAAGTAGCGGGTAGCCGCCATAGCGAACTGGGAAGGAGGGGGAGTCGGCGGCGAAACGTCCGAACCCGGAGCCTCCGGGACGGCCAGCCCAGAGAACCCCGAGTCCTTGAGCTTTTCGACACCCACCGCCAAAACAATGTCGTAAATCCCGGCGGCCACGGCGTAAGCTGCGTTGCGGAAGGCATCAGTCGCGGTGGCGCAGGCATTTTCCACCCGGGTTATGGGTATATAGTCGAGCTTCAATGCCTCCGCCAGGGGTTGGCCCGTCCGAAAACTGCTGACCGTACCCAACCACGCAGCCTGCACATCCTTTGGCTCTATTCCAGCGTCTCCATAGGCTTCGTAGGCAGCCTCAACCATTAGATCTGCGGCGCTGGCATCCCAACGTTCCCCGAACTTGGTGCACCCCATTCCAATAATCGCCACCCGGTCTTTGATCCCGCTCATGCTAGTCCTCCGATTCTGCAGCCCTGGATTCGGCGTCAAAGCGTCTTGGGACAGCTTTCCAATAATAGTTATGTATTCCGTTAACAACCCTCAGTTTTCGGAAGCTCATCGTAACCGGCATCCCCACCCGTACTTCCTCCAATTCCCGGTCGGTCACCATGCAAAGGAGGCGTCCGCCACCCTTGAAATCGACCACGCTGACTACTAGGGGGGTGTCTACAGCCCCGGCAATGTAGTCCATAGAGTAGGTAAAGACCTCACCCGGTCGGTCACTGAGGCGGACGGTGTCGAAGTCGTCGACAACCTGGCAATCCACACAGACCCGTTGGGGCGGATATTGAATGTAGCCGCAGGCATTACATTTCCCAGCGTAGAGTCGCAGATTCTTGTCGCTCTCCCTCCACATCGCCGACACTGACGGCGATGCCGGAGTGGGACGCCTTGCAGCGTCGTCGGTAGTCCACACGTCGCGCCAACGGGCGTAGGTCTCATAGCTTTTGAGCACTGCCCGGGACTCCAGGTGGCCAGCCATTCCGCCAGATTTTTGCATCATTGCTTCAGCCCTTTCGGTCGAGCGAAATGCCAGAACATCGCTGCCGTCACCATAGGAAACAGCTAATAATAGGTCACCAGCTTGCGCCGACTCCAATGCCCCTACCAGAAGCATCAAGGGAAATGCGGCGCCCGTATTTCCCAGGCGGCCAAAGAGGGGGTCCTGTACCTGATCCTGCTGCAACCCCAATCCTCGGATCAGGCGGGCATGGCGGCGGGCATCGGGGCCGTAAAGGGCAACCTTGGCGAAGTCCTGGATGCTCATGCCGTGCTTATCAAGAAAACCGGCCACAGCGTCGGAAATTATTCGCTCCAGGCCCTCTTCGGTGGCAAACCGGTCTTCCCAGGAACGGACGAATGCATCTCCTGATGACCGCCAATTGTCCAGCATGTTCTCAGTGAGGGAGTAGGACCCTGCCAGTTCCGCCGTTACACCCTCGCCACCAACCAGGAAAGCCGCGGCGCCGTCACCGGAACTACGCTCCATCTCACTGCGGGGCGCTCCCTGCCGGCTATCGGAAACCACTACCATCACCTGTTTGGCCGAACCGGCAGCCACGGCGTCCAGGGCCGACCGGAGGGCAGTGGTGCCGGCCCGAAGCACATCGGTTACGTCCGCCGTGAAAATGTCTCGCCGCAGATCAAGGGCAGTGGCAACTATGGCTGCAGCCAGTTTCTCGGCATAGGGGACGGTAGAACTGGCGAAAAAGAGGCCGTCTATCTGGGCTCTATCCCGATGCTGCAAGCAATCCAGGCCAGCCGCCACCGCCATGGTAACGCTGTCCTCGTCAAAGTTGGCTATTGACCGTTCTTGAGGCCCAGACCAGCCCTCGGTATCACGACCCAACCGGAATCGAGGAATGTATGCTCCATGAGCCAGTATGCCTGCCAAGGGTGCTCCTTGCTTGATTGTAGTGAGGGTATGCTAACAGCGGGGTTTTTCCAGTGTCAATTTGGATAGCCTCTTCATATAGCCAAATGTCATACAGAAATGTGAAAGATGGACGGGGGCGGTTGTATCGACAGAGCTGAGAGCGATGAAGGACACCAGTCAACGGAATCGTTGCATCAAGTTATGTAACCTGCTTTCAGGGTGCCCTCATGCTGTATATTTATCATCAAATAAAATTTTAGATATTGCCATTTATGGTAAGAAGATCGCCGTATGCTACAATTGAGTATTAGCGAATGTCTGATAACGACAGAAAATCGGCTTCCCTATCTTCATTAGAGCAGCTTATGACGTGAACAAGCTTCGACTCTTTGGCACGTACCTCCTGGTAATGGCCGTCGGCGCCGCTTTGGCGCTAGCCGTAAACTATGCGCTTGAAATCCCGTTCGAGGCGCAGACACAGGCTTCAGCGTCTTCTTCGAGCTTGCCCCCGGAATTTGAACGCCTTGAAGAAGTTTGGGACCTGCTCCAACGCGAGCATATTGACCGGCAAACTTTGGACGCATCTGAACTGAGCGACGGCGCCATTAAGGGGATGCTGGACGCTTTGAACGACCCCTATGCCTCTTATCTGAATCCTCAACGGTTTGGAGAAGAGGAATCAAAAATCCAGGGGGTCTTTGAAGGAATCGGCGCCCAGGTAGGAATCAGGGACGAACTATTAACGGTAATCGCACCCTTGCCTGACACCCCCGCACAGAGAGCAGGAATCCGGGCCGGCGACGTGATCCTGGCAGTAGATGGCGAGAGCACCGAGAATCTGAGCCTGCAGGAAGCCGTTTCTCGTATCCGAGGACAAAGAGGAACGACGGTCGAATTGCTGGTTCGACACGCTAACCAGACGGAGGCCGTCACGATTCCCATTACCAGAGGAGTGATACCCCTGGAAACGGTACGCTTCACCATGCTCCAGGACGATATTGGGCATTTGCAAATCACCAGCTTCGCTTCCAATACCAACCAGCATGTAGAAGAAGCTCTACAGGAATTCAAGGACGTCGGTGGCCGGGGTTTGGTAGTCGATCTGCGCTTCAATCCCGGTGGTTTACTTGGCGTAGTAGTCGACGTGACCAGCCAATTCCTCGAAGATGGTCTGGTTACCTACGAGCTGAACGGCCAGGGAGAGCGTCGGGAGTGGAAGGTAGCTTCAGGACGCACAGGCAAGGATATTCCCATGGTGGTGCTGGTAAACCAGTACAGCGCGAGCGCCAGCGAAGTTTTTGCCGGGGCTATTCTGGACCACGAGCGTGCGCCAGTGATCGGAGAAACGACTTTCGGCAAAGGGAGTGTCAATACCAGGCACCGCCTTTCCGACCGGTCCGGCATTTACTATACTATTGCCAGATGGTATACGCCGAATGGCACGCTAATTGAGGGTTTCGGCATAGACCCTACCGTCGAGATAGTAGCGCAGCCAGACGCGCAAACAGATGACCAATTGCAACGGGCCATGCAATTGCTGGCAGACCAAGTAGGCTCCTCGCGCAACCAACAGTTCTAACCGCACACCGCAACACGTAAAGGTAATCAATATGCCCAGCAGAAAGAAGAAAACAGCGGTTAAAGAACAACCTAACAACCGCTTGATAGCTACCAACCGCCAGGCGTTCTTCAACTACGAGGTTCTCGACCGGTACGAGGCCGGCCTGTCCCTGACCGGCACGGAAATTAAGTCGATTCGAGCCGGAAAGGTGGACCTGCGAGAAGCTTACGCAAGGTACCAGAATGGCGAAATGTGGCTATTCAACTCACATATAGCCCAGTATGATCCGGCCAGCATTTATAACCACGACCCTCGCCGCGTCCGGAAACTGTTGCTGCACCGGGAACAAATCACCAAGCTGGCCGATGAGGTGGCCCAAAAAGGTTTGACCATCGTGGCTTTGAGGCTTTACGTCAAAAACCACGTTGCAAAAGTTGAACTGGGTTTGGCAAGAGGCAAGCGTCAATTCGATAAGCGAAGGGCCATCAGGGACCGGGATATGGACATGGAGGCGCGACAGGCAGTGCGGGCTGCCAGGTAGCGCAAATTGGAAGAAGCGATTTAGTCTCTTTGGGACAAGACCCATTTGCAGAAGGGGAAGGCATAATGCCCTTCCCATTTTCATTTCCGGATTAGGGTATAATCCTCCATTGCAATAGATTTGCCGCACTGCTCTGCCTGCATTGGCAGGCTAAGTGAAGTAACCCGTCAGGAGGAAAACTTTGATACGCAGCCTTGGTGAAAAGGAACCCAAAATCGCAGATTCGGCCTGGATTAGCGAATTTGCCTACGTCGTAGGAGACGTCGAGATCGGTGAAAACAGCAGCATCTGGCCTGGCGTAACCATTCGGGCTGATGGCGAGGAAAAAGTCGTTATAGGAAATAACGTCAACGTCCAGGAAGGAGCGGTAATTCACGGCAATGGCCTTGTAATTGAGGACAATGTCACGGTTGGCCACAGCGTTGTGGTTCACGGCATGCGGATCGGGACCGGTTCGCTGCTGGGCAACAACTGCACCTTCCTGCACCGCTCAACCATCGGCAAGGAGTGCCTTATCGCAGCCAACTCGGTGGTGCTTTCCGGAACCGACGTGCCGGACCGGTCATTCGTAACCGGCATACCTGGAGAGGTCAAGCGGCAGGTAAGTGAGACCCAGATCGCGAACATGCAGCACACGGCGGAGTCACTGGTGGAGAGAGCCAAGGTTTTCAAGGAAAACGGCCTCTAACCCATCCCGACAATAGCGAGGAAACCTGCCGTGGGCCCAGTGATCAGTTTGAGGTGCCTTATCCCAACCGGTGAGCCACCGGCAGGACTTCAGAAGACAGGTGCTCCATTACACCGATACAGGCATCAATTCCGTCCACTCGGAAATCGTAGGTTAGCTGGTCGATGCCCAATTCCCGGCAATAGTAAACGTCGTCTATCACCTCTTGAGTGGTCACGATTATTACGCCACCGGTACGGACTGTTTTTTCCTCGGCAGCATCCAGATCAGTAAAGTGCAGGCTCCGTTTCAAAGAAATGGAAATAGCCCCGGGGTCGCGCCCTTCTCGTTCGATTTGCTCCCTCAGGTAAGGCAGGTTTTGGGCTACGAAGTCTGGCGTTTGTCTGGTGGTGTGCCAGCAGTCGCCGTACTTGGCCACCCGGCGAAGTGCCGCCCGACTATGCCCGCCAATCCAGATGGGCACTTGCGGCTGCTGCACGGGCTTGGGGTAAAACTGGATTCCGTCGATGTCAAAATATTTGCCGTGGTATTCCGGGTGGGCTTCGGTCCACAGGCACCGGAAAATTTCCAGATACTCGTCGCTCATGGCGCCCCGTTCGGCGTATGGAACCCCAAGAGTATCAAACTCCTTCTCCAGCCAGCCCACACCCACGCCGCAAATCATCCTTCCGCCGCTTAGAACGTCCAGAGACGCGAACATCTTTGCCTGCACAATCGGGTTTCGGTAGGGAAGGATAATCACCGTACTGCCCAGCCTGATGGTCTCAGAGCAAGCGGCCATATACCCCAGCATGGTCATAGTTTCGAGAAATGGCTCGTCCGCCGGTCTCGAAAAGGACCCGTCAGACGTGTAGGGGTATTGGTTAGTACCGCCCGTGGGGAGAAGAATGTGATCTCCAGCCATGACAGCTTCAAACCCCTGCTCCTCCGCACACTGCACAAACCGGCGGATGCCTTCCGCATCGGGCAAGCGAGGAATGCTCAAACCTATGTTCATGCGAATCTACATTCTCCAGGATAATTGATAGCCCAAACCTCGTTCAGCGCCCGATGCAAGTGTTTAGGCAACTTGGGGCCACGGTTTTGTATTGTAACAGGGAAAAACCATGGTAGAGAGAGGAAGAGCAGAAGAACTTGGTGCCGAAGGTCGGATTCGAACCGACACGGGGTTGCCCCCACCGGTTTTTGAGACCGGCGCGTCTACCATTCCGCCACTTCGGCCTGCCTGACGCCCCTGTAGTGCTGCCGCTGATTGCAGGGGCATGCGAGGAATATTGGGTGATTATTATACCACCAACAGGGTAATCATACACTGGAATCCATCGCTCCACACAACGGCAGCGCTCAGCAGGGGAGCATCGCTGCCTTGACGCAAATGGGCAGCAACCCTATAATCTCCGGACTGGAGTGTGCACAATCAATGCCTAAAAGAACCTACCAACCGAAAAACGCCGCCGCGCCAGAGTGCACGGTTCAGGGCTCGTTCCCGCACTTCAGACGGGCGGGCAGTCCTACGACGCAGAAGGTTAAGGGGCGGCACGCCTTACGGTCTAGCGGGGGTTTCCTAAAGAATGGAGCGCCGTTCCCGGCTAACGAAAGCAACGCTTTGCCCAAATACACCGTGAAGGCACCAGTTCTGCGAACCGCTTACTGGTAATAAGGATTTTGCCAAACGGTTTGGAACACAGCCGATTCGGGTTTGTGGTAAGTAAACGTATCGGAAACGCCGTCACGAGAAACCTGATAAAGCGAAGACTACGAGAATCTGTCAGACAGACCAACACTAAGGGAGGATGGGACGCAGTCATAATAGCTCGTCGCGGGGCCAGCAGCGTGGAATTTAGTCAACTTAAGCACGCAGTATACGGCCTATTGCAACGCGCCAAACTGGCCAAGTCCAGTCCATCCTCGGAATAGCAGTCAAATATGAGATATGCCGCCGTGGGTTTGATACGCTTTTACCAGGCGGCAATCTCACCCTACCTCCCATCGGCTTGTCGCTTTACTCCAAGCTGTTCCCAATACACCGCCATGGCGATTTCAGAATACGGATTGAGGCGGGGAAGTCTGCTTGGCATCCGGCGCATTTTGAATTGCAGGCCATGGGGAGGGAAAGGGTACGATCCGGTACCATAAGAGATGTCCTTTATTTCATACTTCCCTTCTTTTTTTAAACAACTACGCCATTCTTTGAAATCGTCTGTTGCCCACGCCAATGGCAGGCCGGGTTTGAGGCTACCTCTCGCCAACAGGTTCCGAATGTTGTCGGCTGTGGTGTTGGTTTCTCTTGCAATCTCCTGCACCCCCAATCTAGGCGGTGACAACATAGGTTGGACGCCGGTTGCCGTAACCTTTTCGGAAGTGCCGGGGGACCCGACTCGGGTTTTATGTTGCCACACAGATGGGATCGGATCTCGGCGACCTGGGTTCACAGCTAGGCCTCGATTTGGGCGATGATGAGCGCAAAGTAAAACTGATTGCCCTCGAGGATTTTGGTTCCGGTACCCCCAGAGTGGCGTGGACTTTTCCCCCTCTGAGTAGCGGAGAAGGACTGGCAGGCGTATTTGGCCAGCCCGCGGTCAGCCGGGAATTGGAGTTGGTTTACCTTGGAGCAGTTGATGGGCACATTTATGCCATCTCCAGCGAAACAGGGGAAGCCCTGGGCGGTTGGGAGAGGGCCGTCAGAAACGATCCTTCGCAGGAACCTCATCCCATAATTGCCAGCCCCGTGCTTGCGGAGGTCATCCGCAGCGATACCGGCCCTGCTACCATTTTGTTGGTCGCATCCGAGGACGGCAATCTTTACGCCTTCGATGCGGCCAGGGGCGAAGAGTTGCCCTGGTCGCCCTTCCGTACCGAGGGAAGGATATGGTCTACTCCTTCGGTCCAAAACAACATCGCCTACTTTGGTTCCCAGGATCACACCGTATATGCAGTGGATCTAAGGGACGGCGACGAACTCTGGCGCTAACCAGACCGGCGGGGCCGTC